CCCCCCCCCAACCCAACGGTAATGGATCCCCTTCTTTCCTCCCTGACCCTCTTGTCGTGTATCCTAGTCCCCTCGAGTCTATCGCGACAAGAGTTCGTAGCAACACAAGTCTCATCCAGTCCCTCCGCACTCTAAAACATCACTCTATCACACACGGCCCCTCCCTCCTGCAACATACCGGTAGCTCATGTTGCCTAACTTATGGCCTAGAATACAGACTACCCACACGACGAGAGCGCGGATTCCCCACCGCGTCAGAGATAAAACAAAATTCATTCCATGTCTTCTTATCCACCGTCGTGAAAACCAAGACCTCTCTATGTGCCTAATAAAAGTCTTTCTCTCTCTCCCAGGAACTCCGCGATAGAAGAGAGTCCTTCTAGCCAATCCCACATTCCTCTTGCGGCACTAAGCACGGAGATCTGGAGTCCGCAGCACACACTGTCTAACATTTTTTACCTGGTCCCTCGTCAGCTAGCGGGATCTTAAGGAGATCTAGAGGAACATCCAGTAGAGGAGTTCGGACCCTTCGTTGATAGTTTTGACACTTTGCAGCACGACCTATATCATAGCTACCTCAAACACCGAGACTATTGACACCACCGCCACCACCAAGACGCTGACTAAATACCCCTTTCCTTTTATCATGACCAAAATATCCCAACAAACCCATTCCAAAAACATACGGTACCTTCTCGAGCAAAATCATTCCCAGACAAAACAGAAACAAACCACAATTACCCGAGTATTGCACCAGCAACCCACCCCCACCGACCAAACAGATCCTCACAGCACCAACCAACTCCATCCTTGGCACCGACAGATAACCCCCAACCCAACCCAATAAACCCACGTTTAACTTTATGAGACATGTCAATTAGCACGGTAACAAGCGAAGCCGGAAACCGTAGGAGACCACCGAAACCGGTACCCTACAAGGTGCGACTTCACCCCCCATCACTCGCAAGCCACCAAAATATCCAGCACACCGCACCCCAGCAACCCCGCGTTCTCTCAAAAGTGCAAAAAAGGCACTGAGTCTAGAACGAAGGTGGGGGGCATGTAGAGAGGGTGGGAGGTTCCGGGAGGGATGTGATGTGAGAAGTGAGATGGAGGGAGGGAGGTTTGATGGATGAAGAAGACGGGAAGGGAAAGATGAAAGGTAAAAGAAATAATGAAGGGAGGGAAGAGAGAGAATAAATATGAGGGATAGACGGTGGTGATGATCCGGCCTTTCGGTCTAAGTTCTTTGAGTACGGGTAACCAAGTTGTTGGTCTCGTGCTATCCGGGCAAACTCCAAAACAGACACTCTACGTAAGCCCAATACACACAGTAGCATCCCAAAAACATGGCTAAGGTTTTTTCTAGAACAAAAACATCTCGCAAATACTTTACCAATATCCTCTCCCTTCCCAGTAGGCTTGGAAAATTCACCTGCCACAGGGCAAAACACACCAAAATTGGCATTTTTCAAAACATCACCACCCAATTATCCTCTACGAAATGAGACAGAAAAAAAAAATATAATAAATTACCTAGCACATCAAAACTCAAGATACAAAATTTGGAATCTTTCGCTTTTACTTCTGCAGAGTAGTGAAGTGTGAGATGTGCCCGACTCGAAGGTACCCGCCCAGCCAGGCTATTTTGTATGTGAAAGATACATTGCAACAGACCTCATTGACTTTGAATGCACCTCACTCTATATACATGGCAGGCAAAAATAGGGGGAAAATATATAGAGCATTTCAGAGGCCTCAGCACCTTGTAAGCTTATTTTGAAGTTAATGTCATGGTAATCCGTTGAGATCAGGAGACTCAAAAAAACCCCAATTTTGGTGTGTTTTGCCCTATGGCAGGTGAATTTTCCAAGCCTACTGTTCCTAGAAAACGAGTGATCATACATGAACAACTGCCACCGTACCAGTTTTAACCAGGCACTGTATCCTCACAGTCCCCATGCCCCCGGGCAATACACACCTCCAACTACCCGTACTCGCACAGCCATCTTATACCCAGAGCGACAAAGCTGCAAAACTCCCTTGAGCAAACTTCCATTATTCATTCCTTCGCTTGACGCTTAATCCCCATTCTGCACTTCCCTTTCTCCTCCCGAGTCCTTACAGCTCCTGACACTCGACTCGCAGGACAAGAAAAGAGGTATTGCGGCTGTTGTAACACATTACTGTAATTCCGATGGACCAGTCAACTGCCATACCTACAGGACATCCAGAAGGCATCTCCAGCTACTGGAACGGAACAAAAAAAAAAAAAAAGCCCCCAGGGTCAATCAGTACTGTATCATACTTCTGCTTGCACTTTTTTTCTAATCTAATCGTGCACGGTGTTGATCATATGATATGTAAGGGCAGCTGTGCTGACAAAGTGAGTTCAAAGTTAAAGGAATGAAGTGGCTACTTGTTTATACGGTAACACCATCTCTTACTGTACCGGTAATGAGAATTTTTTTTTTCAGCCAGTAGAGGTGCGCGTGTCCAGAGGCGAAATGTTTACAGATTGTTGTAGCGGATTTCCGGGCTATCGATTGGCATGGAATTGTCTGTCATCTTCCTGCAGGTTTGTTTTATATCCTTGACCTTCTCATCTTAACAGTGGCTGTTATTATATCTGTGGTGCCTCACGGAATGTACGAAAAGCCAATGATACCACGTTTCTTGTGATGTAAGTTAAGGTCATTTGACATGACTTATCACGTAACTTCAGGAACAAAAGTTTTTTTTTTTTTTTACCAATTAGTTTTCCAAGGGTTTGTAGCTATTATTTTATCCAGTCGGTCGTCAAAAATACTGCGCCGGGCCGCGTATATACCTGTGACAAAGAAATATTATATTGGTATTTAAGCATTTAACGTTAGCCGCATTTTCAGCGCAATATCGAAGTAAGGGGGGGATTTCTACTACTGTATACGGTACTGACTGCGCCTGGATGAGTGAGTGCTTTATTCCAAGCCACCCAAAGCTCGGATGTCAATATATATACCGTACGCTCCCAAGCCGGCCAGTACGGAACGAGTAGGGTGATAGCGCATCACCCGTCGAATAAACGAACCAACCACAGACAGGCAAAACGAGCGTCAGCACCACCACCAGGACCACCAAAACCCACAACTGCCCAACCCCACTCCCGTCCGTCACATTCGCAAAAGCGTCCAGAGTGATGCCCCATGACCCGCTAAACTCCCCTCGGCCGACGCCGAGTAGCCCTTTAGGAAGGTGGCACAGATATTTGTACTGCAGTGTACTGTACGTTTACTGTTTAGTTTACGAGTAACCTTCTTTTTTTCCTTTTTCTGCTTGCATGGTGTGTATGATATGATGGTTAGAGTAGAGTGGTTTGCAGCGTGTGTGTGAGGGTGCTGTGCGTGCTGTGCAGTAACATATCGGCTGCCGGTAACTCGACTGGCGCTGTGTAACATATTAATATCAGGTTTGGCCAGTAGGTAGGTCAGTAGGTGTGGT